ATGTTAGCCAGTCTAAAACTGAATATCAGAATCGATTGTCAGTTAATATTATTGATATGCCTTGCAGATGAAGGGAAAAACTGTTTCTAAATCTGTTCGTTTTGGTCTGAGGAACAACAAAAGACCTTGAGTGTCTAAGGTCGTAATTTGGAAAGTATCTAGATGGTACATGATTATGCATATTAGCTACTGGTGTTGTGGTGATTTCATTAAACAGTTTCTCGCATGCATCCACACGCCTGTCACTTAATGGTTTGATGCCCGATTTTTGTAAACAATCCGCATAACCTGTCAGTAAAACACGCTTTTGAACCCGTTCCAGGGCATTAGATAAGTAGGAAGGAAGGGCGAAGTGGAAAACTTGACAGCTGAATTCCATGACTGGTCTGACGCAGGTAGTGTAAAAATGTATTATGTCAGCTTCAGGTACATGAGCACGTTTCAACTGAATAATAAAATAAATCCGTTTGTTCGCCTTCTTAACTATGTTGGTTATGTGTTGGTTCCATTTTAGATCTTTAGAAATTGTCAAACCTAGGATTCTTGCGTGGTTCACTGTCTCGATTTGGCCTGAGATGATCTTAAGGCGCGGAAATTCTTTCTCAGGTTTTGTAAAACTGATAACAAGTTCCTTGCACTTGGAGGCATTTAATTGCATCTTGTTTTCTACAGACCAATTTTGAACACAATCGACTGTATCTTGAATTTTACTGGGTGTGTTGATGTAAATGATTTCAGATACCGTAGCATCATCGATGTATTTCCATCGCTCATGATGTGGGGGGCGTAGGTCATTTATCATTAGGATGAATAACCAAGGTCCCAATTTGTTTCCTTGAGGGACACCGGAAGGAATGTCAATCCATTCAGACATACAGTCTCTTGCAAGTTTCACCCGTTGTTGCCTGTTCATCAGAAAGTCAATTACCCACCGCTTAATGAAATTTGGCATTGGCAATTGGATGATTTTCGTGGCTAAGATCTTATGATCAATCAAGTCGAAGGCCTTTTTATATCAAAAATAACCACTCTTACAGCGTTTCCAGTTCCATCTGTGGCTTGAGTCCACGCATGAACCATAGAAATTAAGGCTTTTGTAGCAGATGATCGAGGGATGCCACCAAATTGAAAAGGATCAATTGACGACAACACTGCTGGAGCGATATATTTTTCAACAACAAACTCTTCTGCAAGTTTAGACAGAACCGGAGTTAACGAAATAGGTCGGAGCTGTTTACTTATGTCTTTAACAGGTTTCTCTTTTGGAATAGGTGTAATGTTAGCTTGTTTCCAGCATGAGGGCAGTCTTTTTTGCTTGTAGGACGAATTCAATAAGTCCGATACAGAGGGAGCAAGGATTTCGGCATAATCACGAAGAATCCAATTGGGGATATCATCAGGGCCCGGAGCTTTATGCGGGTTCAAGCTTTTCAGTTTTTTCAAGACCGATGCAGTATTTGTCAAATTCATGTTTACATCTAACGGATAATCAGGAATCTCCTCAAACAAGGTGTTCAAATCTGTGACATTTAAGGGATCATAAGTATTCATTGGTTCTATTAGGCTTTTGTTAATTAAATCTGCAAAACCTTTGTGTGTTAAATGTTCTGTATCTTCGACATGAAGTTGGTTAAGCAAACTGCCAGATACAGGTTTCATACCGGAGATACGTTTAACCTCTGTCCACCAAGATTTGGGGTTAGACTTTTTCAGATTAGCAACTTTTGAAGCAAAATAGTCTGCCCGGCAAGATTTTCTCATTCTATTCACTTTATTTCGGTAGAATTTGAAAAGAGTAGTGTTATTAGATGAAAACGCACGTTGTCGAAACTTGATCAGCTGTTTCAATTTTTCGGTTATCCATGGGTTGTCGTTGCGATGGAATTTAACGTGTTTCTCAGGCATAAGGATGTCATAACCCGTCTTTATTGCGGAGCATAAGATATCACAATTCTTATCGCACGGTTCGGAGGAATCGATAAGTTGCCAGTCAAAGTTACTCAGATATCGACCAAGTTCTTTTTTGCGACGAATGTCTCTTTTTATTACTGTCTTTCTACTTGTGGTTTCTGATGATGTTTTAACTTTGGGCTCAATCATTATCACATTATGGTCTGATAATCCGAAAGGAGGGAAAACCATGGCTGGTTGTACATCGTAAAATTTATGCATGTTTGTAAGTATAAGATCCAAAATCTTGGCACCACGAGTTGGTTTATCAACCAATTGTTTTAACTGAAAATCTTGGCAAAGATCTTTAGTGTCAAAGTGGTTAAAATCACCAGCAATAATAATTCCACAACCTGGAAAAAGACTTTCCAGTAGTGTCAGTGAGTCTGATAGGTATTGAAAAAGATCTGTATTGCTGGAACTTGGAGGATGGTAGACGCACGCAGAAACAATGCCGTTAATTCCCCTTGGTAATCTTGGTGGTCTAATGTGTGTCCATAAAACCTCAAAGTCTAAATGTTCAATTTCAGGTAATCGTTTGAAACGGATGGAATTCTTTATGTACATGCAGACACCACCGTGGATACCAAGACTACGATCCCGCCTCACGAGGTGGTAATCAAATAAAGTCGCGTGGGTGTCACAAACGGACTCTCGCAGCCAAGTTTCAGTTATAAAACCCAAATCAAAACTTTGTGCAGAGGTCAAAATACGTAGCTCGTCAACCTTAGGAACTAGAGACATCACATTAGTTAGCATAATTTTTGGAACGAATTCAGTTCTTGGAGAATGAGTTTTGGTAATAGGAATTTTAACAAGGTTACTGAGATTTCGAGTACACATTGGTTTGAGTCGGCTGAAATGCTGTCTTCTAGACCTTCCCATACCGTGTACTGTAGAAATGTTTTGCAAGGGTGTCTCCGCCATTATACAAGGGTTGAGTAGCTCCCATTCTGGGTCGAGTTTATTTTCTTCTGAGTCAGTGTGTTCATGTCATGATCTTTTGGTCGCCATGGTTTGCAAGTAACAAACGTGGGCCAGAAGTTTTCCTTCTCCACCAGTGCACTGGCGCCTGAGGGTATATGGAGTTTACACGAAAGAGTCTCTCGACGGCGGCTTCGAAAAACCGAGATATAAGTGGGGAAAATATTTCTTTGATTGAGGTAAGAAAGGATTTGACTTTTGTTTACACTTTCAGCGATTCCCGTTACGAACAATTTCTTAGTCTTACCACGTTTACGCTGTACTCCAATAAAATCATCAGGCGACTGTCCGGCCTCAAAAACCACACTCTGCGAGGTATGCTCCGAATTCTTGCTTAGGTTATTCTTGATAGGATCTTGGTGGTTTGTTTTGGTAGCGGTTTGATTAGCCGTTTTTTCTGCGTAGGTAGGGTGATGCGCTTTCGTACTATTATTATCTTCTATAGAAACATCAGCGGATGCACTATTTGGGTTCACAGGTAATACAGATTTGTAAGACAAACGTTTTGTCTCGTCGTCTGTCGGACCCAATGTTGTCAAAGAGAGCCGCTCGCAGCCTACACAACATCAGAATGTGTAAAGTTGTAGTTGACAGTTATAATGGGCAGACAAGTAAGAATTAAAGTACAGGTAAACAAATTAAATGATGGTAAAGTATCTCCTGATAAGCTTATTTATTGTATAGTAGAGAGTGAGATACTGAAAAATACACAGTGAGATATTTTCCATATCTTCACTAGTGAAGATATCGATCACGCGACTTTTAGTATTTATACAATTTTTTGCTTGGGACTATAAATAAACAGAACATTACACGGGTGGCTTGAAGATATGACTTTTATTTTCTCGTGTTAAAAACAATATTTTACTCACTCGCTGCGCATCACGAAATATCATTGAGATCAGTGAGATATTTGAGATGAGTGAAATATCAGTGAGATATTTTGTGATGTCGTTACTAGTGAAGATGTCGATGCGGACAGGACTGCCCAGTATGAGTGCTGATTTGTTTTCTGTGACTGTGTTGTTTTATTAACTGATACATGGTTTTATATTTTCGTGGTGAAAGCAATATTTTACTCATTCACTATACGCTTATTCGTAAAGTATTATTTGCACTACACGAAATAGAATCCATATCTTAATTCGCGCAGCCTTATATCCCCTATGTTTAATTATTTCGTCCGTTTTTTCAAGCGCTTGATGCAGCTATGGTAGAAGACAGCTCGAACTTTAGAAGGCCAAATGAAACCTCAAGTGAAGCTTCAAGCTCAGGTAATTGTTTGGTTACGGTCAGACTTTGACTATATACATTAGTTTGCAATTAACGTTTCCGATTTTAGAAGACTATATATTTCTGTGCACACTTCGTAAGTACCGTGTGTGTTTTCAACAGAATTTTTTGCAGCATTTTGTTGAATATCATTCATAAAAGCTGGTAGTGCTTAAGCTTTAGTTTTCAACGTGGAAAACAAATGTTCTTTTGTACGGGACTTTAAGCTGTTGCGTTATTTCTATGGCTCTTTAAAGAGGTATCAAGGGAATCGATGAGTTGGCCTGTTCTTGATTACAGTCCATAGGAATTTTTAGTCATAAGCGTTGTAGATAATTTTCTCCTCATGTATCTAGGGTTTTAATCATGTTTTTTGTTGTGATATGTGCTTTTAAATTACTCGCAGGTTTTCAATCGACAGGAGACTCCTATCCCAAAGTATCTATGAACGGTATGAATGAGTTAATATAATAATCATCACTATTATTACCTCCGCCAGGAAGTTATGTTTTTATCTGCGTTTGTACATAGTCTGTCAAGATATGGTGGTCTGGAAGCCTGGCAAACTTCAAAACCACAAAATAGAAGACTTTTGTTTGATGTTGAACTATACCTCACCATGCACAAATCCTTTGTCTCAACTTCATTAAATATTATTCATCGTCGTTGCACGTTTCATCTCAGCTATCCCTATATTGGACGGTAACTTCATTATGCGAAAATAGAATGAGCTCAATGAATCACCGTGACAGTGCACAAATTAACATTAAACTCCGACAAAAACATAATACAATGACTCAGGCCTTAAAATATCGGTCGGTCACGGACATTGTCCGACCCATTCGTGAAATTGTCCGACGTAGAGAGGAAACCACCGGACATTCTGTCCGACCAAAGTGAAACTGAGGTTTATTGTTTGTCCGACCCAAGTGAATTGGTGTCCGACCAAACTGTAGCTTTGTCCGACGTACTATTGTATAAAAGGTGTACTGGAAATGTTGTTTTAACGTAGTCCAGCGCGGGGCGGCGAGCGAAATGGTGAAGTGGAAAACGGGCTTAAGTTGTCGAAGTCTTTTTTAACACTGCTGTTCTGGCAAGCGAGTTAATTTTGGCTTGGAAATAAGTATGAAAGAAATGATTTAATATCTTTACAACATTTACCGTTTATTCATTTGTGTCATTCAGACTTATTTCCGAGTCAAAACTGAACTGAAAGTCATCGGACATATGTCCGACCCAAACTCAACGTCACCGGACATTTTGTCAGACGGCCCCGTAAAAGATATTTTAAGGCCTGATTGCTGCTGTTCAGTTTCCAGACCATATCATGATAGACTATGGTTTGTATTTATATTTCACTGTATTTTTTTATTTGGGCCTCCTTTTAACTTGGGCCTCATGGCAAATTTCCCTCAACCTCTATGGGCGGCCTTGACAGCACCTGCAGTTACGACTATCTATGACAGCATACAGTATATAGGTTCATAATAACATGCTTGCAGGAAAGAAATATTTTCGTCTTGGCGAATGAAAGGCGACTTAAGCGTGCCAAACCTCTAGAGAAGTTCCAGGGACAAAATATTTCCCACTCAAAGTCATCGAACATTTTGTCAGACGATTTTCTGACGGATATATTTTAAGGCCTGATCATTACTTGCACTTTTCAATTGTATTGAATTGAATTCTTGTAATTGTGTAAATGTAATTTAGCTCTTTCACATTCTGCACGAACCTTTGTAGAACTGAAAATAATGCCAGTGCAGTATAAATAGAGTTAGCAACATGAGTTAAAATAGAGCATAAATAGAGTTAGCAACACTGGACCAATAAGAGATGATCGTTACTGGATCTCTAGGAAGAACAGTTTGGAACTGATAGAACTATCCAGAATAAATAAAGTTAGTTTAGTTTAGGTTTCCTCCTGTAGTAACACTGGATCGATAAGAGATGATCTTTACTGGACCTCCAGCGAGAACAGTTTTATTTGGAACAAATAGAGCTATCCATGCAGTATAAATAAATATATTAGTTTAGCTTAGGTTTCCGCCCGTAGTAACACTGGAGCAATCGGGGATCTTACCAGACCTTTAGAGAGAACAGTTTAGAACTGGTAAAGATATCCTAAATAAATAAATTTAGCCTAGTTTACTGTAGTTTATCTAATGGTCTTACTTACGACTTTTGTCTAACATGCCTGATGGGTTGCATATGGTGGGTATATACACGGGTGGTCTTATATTTGGAAGTTTACGGTATCAGTGTTTTCTTTTTTCAAACAGAAATAACGGATTTCGATGATGAAGTCTGTGAACGACACGTACCGTGGTTGGCGCGACATCTAAGCAAGGATGTGGAAAAAGTTGCAATGCTGTTAGAAGTTGACTCGGTTGAAATCGAAGCTATTAAAGAAGGCGAACCCCAGCCAGAAAGACGAAACATTAAAATCCTTAACTCGTGGAGAAATGCAGAAATGAAGCTTGGAAAGAAACCAACGTGGGAAAAAATTTGTTTATGCTTGGAAGATGAAACCGTTGGACGATGTGATGTCATTCGTGCTCTTTTGAAAGAAGACGAGTTGGATGACCGTGTTTTGGTGTGGCTTGCACCCCGCATTGCGGCGTCGTTTCGAAACTACGCTCGCGTTCTTGGCGTGCCAGAATGTGAAATAGATATGTCAAATCAGAATTTTGAAGGTGTTGGAAGGAGCTGTATGGATGTTTTGCAAAGATGGCGACGAAGGACAAGGTATCCTAAAGTTGAAGACTTGATACAAGCTTTAGAACATGATATTATAAACAGACCTGATCTAGCCGAAGAAATGAAAGAGAAGTTTTGTAATCACGAAGTCAAAGTAAGTGATAAAGATGGGAATGTCCTGTGGTGTATTGATTTGAATGAAATACTCTGTGTAAGTGTCAAGACTGCCATAAACTAGCTTTGCTTAGACTGGGTAAATCTAGTTCTAGCTGTTCTAGTTATACACATAGAGGTCCAGTAAGAATCGTCCCTTATTGATCCAGTATGACTATAGGAGAAAGCCAGAATATCTAGGGAAACCAGCGGTATTTGGTCGAGTCCGTTCTGCTTGTAACTACTCACAATGAAGAAATATTTTTTATTTAAGGATGAGGTCCTGAGCCAGTTGGACAACCTGTCAATATGAGCAAGCCAAAGTTGAAGATTTTGATACAAGCTAAAGAACATGATGTTACAATAAAACCCTCATAGCTTTAAAGTGCATATAGGGTTGGTATGGTGCATATACTGTCATTTTTTAGATCATTTATGCACAATTTATATAAATCATATACCATACCTCCCTAAAATGAGGCGCTTTTCTCTTAAGAAAATGCGAACCTATTTAAGAACCTGTTTAGCCTAATTTCCTGGTAAGCACCATTTACATAAGAACCTGTTTAGCCTAACTTGGAAAATCTAGGTTCTTATACACTGATTGTAGCTAACTTATGACTTAATTTTGACTCTATTTGATAATAGAAGAATCTTGTTTTGAAATTCTAACCTGAGCTGGTATTTATTTAAAGGGGGTTTAAATAAAATAGTTAAATTCTAGGTTCTTATATGCGGGGTTTTACTGTATATATATATACAGAGACACGAACTGGCCAAAGAAATGAGAGAGAGGTTTGGTAACAAATGTGTTGAGTCATCAATCTTTTAACAAGTCTGCTGCAAACCTGTGACAACTTGGCAACAAACTGACTCTATTATATTACAACAAACCATACTAAAGCTTTTAGCTTATTGTAGAATACTACCTACTTAATTCACCAAATCCTGTTCGAGAATCTCAGTACAAAATTACTATGACGAACGATTTGACTCAGCAAAAAATAATTTAAAAGAGACTTGGAGGCTATTAATAATTAAATGAAGTAATTAACAAATAAAAAAGAAAGACCTCCTTTGCCAACCACATTTAATCACGGAAATAAAATATTAACAGATCCATCTGAAATTGCAAATCGGTTTTGTGATTACTTCACTAATGTTGGTCCTAACTTGATGAGGCAAATACCCACAGTGGATACCCCATTCAACTCATTCTTAACTGATTGTATAAGCGAAACTGTATAAACCCTACCAACATGTTACTGAACTATCTAACAATCTCTTAAGTCAGGGAAAACAGCTGGTTCTGATAATATAGCCATGAATGTAATTAAAAAAATCATTTGAATTAATTTATAGCTCAACCTCTTACCCAAATGATCAATCTTTCACTTTCAAGTGGCATTCACCCTGATTTATTAAAAATAGCTAAGGTAATTCCTGTATTTAAAACTGATAATCCTGAAAATTTTACAAATTATAGACCAATCTCGCGCTATTATCAATTTTTTTTTAAATTTTTGAAAAAGTGATGCATAATCGCATTATTGATTTCGTGAATCGATTTGAAATTCTTTATCCTCTCCAATATGGATTTCGGAAAAAATCATTCCACAGTCTCTTCACTTATCTACCTGATGAATAAAATTGCCACAGCTATTGATCAAAGTGAAATTACCATCGGTACCTTCCTAGACCTGTCAAAACCATTTGATACCCTTGGTCATCAAATTTTGTTCTCAAGGTTGGAACACTATATATGGTATCCGTGATATAGCATTGCAATGGACCAAATTCCAAAAGCTATTTTTCTAATCGAAAATAATTTGTCCAGTTCAATGAGACCGATTCCATCGAACGGATTATTAAGTGCGGGGTTCCTCAGGGTTCAATATTAGGCCCTTTATTTTTCCTACTTTATATAAATGATCTCCCTAATCCTACGGAGTTGGCAGAGTGTTTGCTTTTTGCAGATGATACCAGCATTTGAATGCTGCATTTGAATGTAAAATCTGCAATTCAGGAGAGGTGGAAAGCCTAGCTATGAGCAATCTCGTGCAAACCTTCGAAGTTCATTAGAGAATGCTTCATCTGACGAAATTAATCTAAACACTCAAACTCTATCAGCGGACCTAAGGAAGTCAACTGATAGTGAAATCATAACCAAACTTTCAAAATTTGTTTATTCATGTTTCGAGCAAAGACTTAAATACCTTGAAACCAGGAATGCAGATTAGCAAAGGTTGTAATAACCACCTTATTCGTAAATAGTATACTTGTCTTCATTCTGTCCTCTTAATTCTTCTTAATATTGTATTAGTCTATTATAAATCATTCCACAAATAGTAATCTGTAATTGTCCTAGTTTATCATAGTTTCTTCTATATATTGTTTGTAATGCTTTAGCAATATTGTAAATTTATGGTCATGCTAATAAAGCTATTAATTACCTTACCTCAGATCGAGCTATTTTAAGACCTGCAATGGACCATTTGCATTATAGACTAAATTTTGATCTGGACAAAAATTTCATCACAGCTTGAAAGAGCATCACAAAATTAGTAATATTCCAAAGTTTCGTTGCGAAATGTTGTAAAATGCGGATAACATAGCCTTGCGAAGTTTGCTGTTTTTCAGTAATTTTGTATTACGCACGGGAAATTGACAGCCCAATCGGGTGTTGGGGCATCAATTTCCCGTTTGTAATACAAAATGACTGAAAATTGCAAATTTCGCAAGGCTATATTATCCGCATTTTACGACATTTCGCAACGAAACTTTGGAATGTTACTAATTTTGTGATGCTCTTTCAAGCTGTGATAAAATTTTTGTCTAGATCAAAATTTAGTCTATAATGCAAAATTAATGGTCCATTGAAAAAATACCACTTTTTCTGTATTATGTATACATTAATATGCATATAACATGACTAAATAGTTACGGAAATACATTTACAAGCAAGCATTAGCTACTCTGACTGAAGAGGCTTTTATTTACGTTTTTAGTTAAGCGAGTATATGCCCATAAAACTCGCTTGCCACCAGAGAACCTCTGCACCCAAGGGAGTGGATATATAGCCCGCATTAGACTTTCTCCCTGACTTGCAGCAAGTCTAAGGCTAAGCCGATTTAAATGAGAGTTGGGAGTCACGCGATCTTGGTTAGCTGTTCTTAATGCTTTCCCAACACTATCATGTATTCTATTGAAGTTAAAACATAGTTGGAACATTCATCAAACCTTTATTTTGTTCATCTAGAGCTTGAAATGTCCGCTGTAGCAATGCGTGACTGTCAACTCTCTGCCTCGTTTGATCGCGGGGATTAGTCGTAAAACAAGATAAATATTGAAGAGGTTACACTTCTTATTTAGAATGCGGAATTTTGGAAAAAAAAGAAAAGCGTGGAAGATCGATGGCCTACCTGTGTGTCACTGTGGTGCTTAGTGTGACATCTGGAGCAACAGATCATGATCAACCTATGAGTTTGAAGTTGTCTTTAATCAGTCTTCTTCTATTGACCAATTCGAAAATTGGCTGCAACAATTTTGCATTATTGATCCGGTTAACTGCACCAGAGTTATAAATTTCTCGAGGTTTTTTAGGTGTCACAAACATAGAGATTATAAGTAACACCAGAGGGGGCATCGTAATCTCAGTTCAGTCAAAGAAACGGAACGCGGCTATTGGGGGGCAAATGATTGAAATGCTAAAATAAAAGCGAGTTTGAGCCAAAATCTTTAAAAATTGTTTATGGCAGTTACGTTGTCCCGTTTTGATTTTTACCCAGCATTTTTACCTCAAATTAGTCTATAACACATTTAGAGCGCTCCAAAATAATGCTCATGTCAGCAATTTTGATCTTTTCAAGAGAAATTTTAATGGTTTGAATTCAAAATTTTTGGGGAATGTTTGTAGCAATGACATGCAAAACATATAAAACACCCATTTTTGTGACTCTTGTTTTCAAAATTTTTCTGGTTTCAAGTGTAACCCAAGAATTGTGTGGTGTTCATCGGGGATTTCAATTTGTCCCCCATTACCGCGCTCCCAAATTTCACCCTCAATGCTCCTAAAATGCGACACCTGCTCGGGCGTTCACTCCGGCTGGGGGCGACATAGGTAAACCCCTATAGTATAGATACAGCTACACATGTAAAAACACTCAAGTTGTAACAAACCTGCAGCACACTTGTAGCAATGCTGTTCCAACAACTTGTCAAGATGTGTTCGCACTGCTTGTTCCCAGCTTGTTAACAAGTTGTCAACGGCTTATTGACAACTCGCTACGAGGTTGTTGAGTTCAACAGACTTGTTACAAGTTGTTCCAACAACTTGTTATCGTCCTGCAATTCAACATGAATTTGTCAACAAGTTGTGAGTGACGAGTTTGTAGCAACTTGATAAAATAACAGCATTGTTACAACTTGTTGACAAGCTTGCTACAAGCCTGTTGCGAACACATCTTGTTGACAAGTTGTGAGATTTTTACATGTGTAGCTAAGGTACCGCTCACGAAACTACGGCACCTAGCTTAGAAAAGTAAAATCTCACAACTTGTCAACAATATGTGTTACGATGTGTTCGCAACAGGCTTGTAGCAAGCTTGTCAACAAGTTGTAACAATGGCCGTTTTTATACTAGAGACGCATTATGCGTCTGGACGAACTTGGGCAAGCATTTGTTGTTCGTCTGGTTATGCGTCCTTAGTATAAAGACGGGCACAAGACGTATTATGCGTCTAGACGAACTATGATGTTCAATTCTTCGTCTTAAAGATGCGGTACAGTCCGTATGTAAACAAAGGCTTTGTTTACATTTCGGTATCCAAAATATTGAATTTTATTCGACAACTATTTATATTTTCATGATTTTAGAGTATAATAAATTGTCAAGAGACAACAATCAAGCTTTGCAAGAACATAAAATAAAATAAAAACCTAAATAAACTGTTTGCAAATAAAAAGAGGGCTCCTTTGTGCACATGCACAAATCGGACTGTACCGCATCTTTAAGAGACGCACAACCGATGATAGTTCGTCTAGACGCATAATGCGTCTTGTGCCCGTCTTTATACTGAGGACGCATAACCAGACGAACAATAAATGCTGATAGTTTGTCGGATTATTCGTCCCGTCTTTATACTAGACGAATAATACAGAAGACATAGTAATATAGTAGTATAAAAACGCCCAATGCTGTTGTTTCATCAAGTTGCTACAAGGTTGTTACTCACAACTTGTTGACAAATGCAGGACGATAACAAGTTTGTTGGAACAACTTGTAACAAGTCTGTTGAGTCTGTTGTAACAACCTTGTAGCGAGTTGTCAACAAGCCGTTGACAACTTGTTAACAAGCTGGGAACAAGCAGTGCGAACACATTCTGTTGACAAGTTGTTGGAACAGCATTGCTACAAGTCTGCTGCAGGTCTGTTACAACTTGTGCGTTTTACGTGCGTACTTTATGGTTTTCATTCGTTTCCAACCATCAAACTGACGTCATTTGATCAATTTCTAAAGTTGCATGATTCTTTTTGGATTTATTTTATTATTTTGGTTAGGGTTAGAGTAGGGGCAGGGTTTAGGTTAGTTACATAGCCATTTAACACCCCTTCCATCTTCCGAAAATGACGTCACGTCAGTTTAGTTGTTGGAAATATGTGCTGACCAGAAAGCCACGGTAATAAAGTTTCCCCATACTCAATTATATTTGGGAAATTTCTCTAGTTGAAGCAAGGAAAGAGCTTGATAACTTTGTGCTTTTCGAAGACATGTCGTCAATATTTCTCTTTCAAGTATGTTGAAAGAGAAATATAGACGATATGTCTTCGAAAAGCACAAAGCAATACTCCATTAAAACCTCATTATCATATTTTTTTTTCATTTAAATGAGGCTTAGAGATCAGAAAGTTCGCTTCTAACCTCATCATTCTCCATACCTCCAGAGATACAGCTGAGGTTGGTAGTACTACACGAAGCAGTGTGACCAGGTTTTTTCATGGCAAATTACCACATCCGGTTTCAAAAATTACTATTTTCGGTCTGAAATTACCACGATGCTATATTTTACCAATTTTACCATATTTTTTCGAAAAATTCCCCAAAAATGTTGTTCCGGAGAAATTTTTCCGGACAACTTCGTCGTAAATTAGGGCCAAAAAAATTTTTTCAGGAAAAATAATAAGTAAAACAAGGCCAAAACCGTTTTTTTCGCCTAAAACAAGGCCAAAACCAGTTTTTTTCACCAAAATCTGTAACATTTAAGGCCTGTTTAAACGGATCCAACATTGTTGGACCAACATCATCCAACAATGCTACTATACTAGATATGACTGCTTCTCTTTCAAATCTTTTTGGTTAGATAAACTTTACTCAAACCCTAAACCTAGTCTTGACAAAATATTTGAAAAAGAAGCCGTTTGAGCCATTATTTCAACAATGTTGGATGATGTTGGCCCAACAATGTTGGATCCGTTTAAACAGGGCTTTAGGGGGTTTTCACCAAAATCTGTACATTTAAGGTCAGGAAATTTCAAATTACCACAATCGGCCGAAATTGACGAAAAATTACCACGGTAGTTCTGAAATTACCGTAGTAATTACCACAAATTTCCAATTACCACAATTGTCCAAAAATGACGAAAAATTACCACGGTAGTAATGAAAATTATGAAATTACCACGTCCGGTCACACTCACACTGACACGAAGTTTCGATGCTATACCTCTGAACTTTTAATACTGTGGGCTCAAATGTATATTTTTTCAAGAATGCGGAACAGAAAATTTTGAAAAGAAAGGTTCAAATTTGGAAATGAAAATGAAACTAGTAGTGTCAAGACGCACTTGAGGGAAATGTGGAGATTATGACGGTGTTTAAAAGGTGTTTTTCTTACTAGATTGCAATGGACCTGCCAACAAGATTAGGCAAATGTATGTATATTATTTAGTATATATTCCAGACTGCTATTAAACTTTGGTAATTCCGTGTAAATTGCGCACCGAATATGATTTTGTTGCCAAAAAATGTGCACTTATATTTCACGGGAAGGACAGAATGCGCACATCAGTAACCTAACCATCACTAAACTATCAAACTTTTGAATAGTTTTGAAAGTACATTTTGTCAAAAAAATAAAAAAAATTCTGTGCAAGGTGGTCACATAAACACACACTAGACTTCAATTCTTGAAACACACACTTCATCTTGAAAAACGGCAAAGTTAGCAGTCTGGTATTATCGGCACAGCAAAGTTAG